CGGTTGTAAAACACGGCGTGAACGTGACTGGCCATCAACGACAGGTCACCCGACTCCCTGCAGCTATTAACCACAAATTCAGTACTTCAAGTCCTTCTTTAAATGGTAAGTTAAAACATGGAGGTAAATTGTCGTGTGATAGAAAAAAATGTTCAAAGTAGCAGTGAATGAACTTGTTCAATCGTGCGTGACTAAAGGTCGGAAGATGTACACACGTAACTTGCCTTCCTCTATCTTTGAACTAAGAGGGAGATGACCGGATCATGAACCTAAAAAAGACCAATGATATGTCGGCTAAGGTTAAGGTGTTATGTTCTAGCTCACTGGCCCCCCACATTTGTGGGGAGAAGAGCTGAGGGGGTGGAGGTGAAGTGATACATAAACGTTTGAGCGAACGATATGTTGACTCCTATTTTGATTTTTTGACCCCCACAATAAAATTAAAAAAAAAACTAAATGACTGCCATTCATCAGCATTCACCCTTTTAGCTTGACTTTGTTCAGATTTGTTCATTTCGTGATGATATCTTCAAGTCTCTAATTTTGATGAACATTTTTGGTGAAAAATCATATTTTTCACTTTGATTTAATACTATACGATTGTTTTAATACTACATGTATACATATGGGTACCTCAGGTAGACCTCAGATTAATTCATTTTCTAATGATATCTTCAGTTCTTTAATTAAAATGTGCATTGCTAACAGTTGAGCTATCTCAGGCCTTAACCAAGGTTACCCAAAGCTATCTCAGGCCTTAACCAAGGTTCCCCAAAGCTATCTCAGGCCTTAACCAAGGTTACCCAAAGCTATCTCAGGCCTTAACCAAGGTTCCCCAAAGCTATCTCAGGCCTTAACCAAGGTTCCCCAAAGCTATCTCAGGCCTTAACCAAGGTTCCCCAAAGCTATCTCAGGCCTTAACCAAGGTTCCCCAAAGCTATCTCAGGCCTTAACCAAGGTTCCCCAAAGCTATCTCAGGCCTTAACCAAGGTTCCCCAAAGCTATCTCAGCCAAGAGGCTACTTGTTTATATATATATAGCTTTTAACCTTTATTGACAAGAATCCATTTTATGTATTATTTTATTGTGATATACATTTGGACTTGTTGTTATCAATGATTCCATAATATTTGGTAGTAAAAAAGAAATAATCTTGAGATTAATAATGTAATTTGGCAAAATAACACTAATATAAAGGATGGTGGTCGTTGTGCGCGTTGTGTTTAATATGGGACAGTTCTGGATATTGAATGTCACTGTTGTTTTCCTGACTTTTTTTTTATGTGCAAGCTGCAAGTGCTGACATATAGTGCATTTTTGCCACAGAAGCCATATTAATGTTTTGATACAGGGCTGCATGTGCGGCCATTTCTCTATCAAATGGCAATGTAATGCACTATCCTGGTGTCAACCAGGCTGGTTGAACACAAGCACTTGCAGGCCTTAACCCCAAAGTCACATTCTTTAGTGAATGAATCTCGTCCAGTGGAATTGGCCTTCCCATTGTGTGTGTGGCACACTCACCCAGGATAGGGGTTGACCCTTTCTGGTGTTCAGCCTAAGGTAGGATTTGACCTTGGGTCTACCGATCATGATCATGAGTCTGGTGCGACAACCACTAAACTACCAGTGATCAGTATCATTGTCTAAAAATAAGCCTCTACCCATGAGCCTTTGTGTTTTTAGTGTGTGGTTTTATCGTCGCTTGGGATGCAATTCCTACGCATGTGCTTTAAATAAATTTGAAAATAAGTTGCAAGACAACTTATGGTAACAACAGGGTTAAAGTGTGTTAAATATTTGTTTACTAATTCAGACATTCCCTAAAAGTTTCTAAAGCATGCTACTATAACAACATCTGAGAACTTACATATGGGCGAATAGATTTCTAGACACCTTTTCCCCACCAGTTCCTTCTTTTCATTAACAATTCACAAAATAGTCCTATTCATAGTCTGCACTTTCCTTCAGAAGATTGGGACAAAAATAGCCAAATTTTTAAAGTAAAAACTGAAAATTGACTCAAATTTTGTCTGTTGGATCTAAGATTAGGGTTCATTTCCAGAAATATTGAAGAATATAAAAAAAAAAGTTCTGAAAAATTTGGACGAGAAAGTCAGATGGTGAAAAGGTTAATATTCTAATTGATTCGAAATATCGAACAGATTCCCAAATCGGCTGCCATATTGAGCACTATCATATAATGTACCGTAGTGGGTGTATAAGGATTTAGTGATGTGGCACCAACACATCACACAGCAATAATATATTTGCCTAACAAATCATTGGCAAGGCGATCAATTGTTTCACTTTTATTTTGTTTCAGATGATGATCCAGATTTTCATAAGATGGTTCAACAATATTATGACAAAGCTGTTGACCTTGTGACTGATAAATTAGTTGATGAACTACCTGGAAAAATACCAATACAAGATAAAATAAACAAAGTGAAAGGAACTCTGGGTAATTAAAAAATAAGTACTGTAAAATACTTTGGGTGTTATGTATGGAATTTATTTTCACCGATTTTTGAAGAGTTGAATGTAAAATATAGGAAAAAAGGTATATTCAAGTGATTTTATTTTCACTGAATACTCCCTTCAGCGAAAATAGCCAAAATAAATTCCAAGCGAAAAAAAGTATTTTACAGTATACTAGTATTAAGTATATCATTAAAGCATTGTTGCATTGTATTGTTTGATACGAGTCTCATGCGATATATAATGAACACAAGGGTATGGCTCTTTAATTAGTCCCCGTTCGGACGTAGTCCGAAAACGGGGACTTATGTTTTGCCCTGTGTGCGTCCGTTCGTGATCACCTGTATCTCGAACATGCATGGACCGATTAAGTTCAAACTTCACTCATACATCACACATTATATGGGACATATGCACATGCATTTTTTTCATGATCCGATTAACGATAGCCGAATAGCGGCCATTTTAAGTCTGAAAATGCATCAAAATCCCACATTTTCACCATTCAGGACCCGGATCTCAGTTATGCATGGACGGATTTTGTTCAAATTTGGTACATACATTAAACATAATAGGACCTTGAT